AGTATTTGGTGGAGTGTAAAGATGTGATCGATGCAACTCCGATCTGACCGGAACCCAGCTTGCTCTTCACGTATGCTCAGTTCGCGTACCACGCTGAGCATCCTTAGAAACAGAGCTGAGAGCACCTTGGACGCAACACAGATGGGACTAATTCCTCTGTGGATGGTACAGTCAGTTGGGTACCCTTTTTGAAGACGCGCACGATATCCGCTAGGCTCCAATCAGATAAGTTGAGTGACCCAGATCTCTTGGAGGAGAGAAGTTAACTGTCTGAAAGGCTGCCATCTGTGAAAACAGCCGGAGGGAATTCATCTGGGCCAGGGGTTTTGTAACGCTTTAAGAGGCGAAGTTCATGGAAAGCCTCAGCCTTAGATGATGGTGAAGCGTCTACACACCAGGGAGCACTCCAGACTCAAGAATGGGAACCCACAGGTGATGTTGATCAATTAAACTGCTGCTTGTAATGCTCGGCATAACGCTTGGGCCGGAGTTTTTGACAATGGATTGGCTCACCATTGATTTCGTATAAAACTTCGCTTACAGTCGGCCCTTTGCCGCTAGTAGATCGGACTAGGAGGAAAAGCTTACGCAAATTCCACAAGTTGGTTGCTTGCTCCATCTCAATGGCTGCTGCGTCCAGCAGACCTTGCGATCTTCCCGGAGAAACTGTTTGAGCTAAGGGTTCGTAGTGTTGCGTAGTGTATGGTATTTAACGCTGGCAGGAATTGCTCGACGGGGTTCGAGAAGTTGGAGGGATCGTGCAGAGATCCAGTGGTTGACAGGACTACTAGTGAAGACACAGACCAGGGTTGCAGAACTGTACACGGTGCCGCGGATGTGTGTCCAGTGTTTCAACGCCTGTGCATGAGGCCGTCTTCAGGCTTGAGGCCAAGACATTCTGAAATGCGCAGAGAATGTTCGGGGCAGCAAGACTAAGCACGTCAAGCCGTTTCCGGCGACGGTGCTGGGAGCCACCAAAGCGTAGCGCAACCTTGGCACACACACCAGCGTGTGATCCGAAGTTTGATAGGTACTCCAGATTGATTTGCAATCCTGTACACTACCCCCCCCCAGCGATAGGTAACGGCGATGTGGTCAAATTGTGTCCACGGCTGGCCAGGTGACGGCGGTCTCCAGGTGGCGCGTTGGCGCTAGGATTCTTTAAAAGCTAGTGTTCGACAGAAAGAGGCCGTGATCGGCGCAAAGCTGAAGTAGTCGATCACTGTTGTCAGTTCTGCGAGTGCCATAGCAGTGTGGACCATCGAGTTCACGTTTGTCAACTCCAAGTCTACCGACGTGCGCGTTCAAGTCCCCGACGAGCACCACGTCGGTATGGCGCTTGTAAAGAGGTCGGCCAGAACTCGTCGCTAACTGACTCCAGCTGCAATCTGTGGGAGTGTACGCTGCGACACTGAATAGACAGCGTCCGCTGGCTTCGCGTCTGGACAGTCGCACTGAGGTTTAAAGTGGGATCGCGCATAGTCGACTGTTGACAGGGATCCAGTTCAGTAGGGCGGCCTCAGCACGTGTGCTCAACGCAATTCCTACACCAGCATAACCAGCGGCTTCAGCGGTTGAGTCTCCAGATAGGTACAAAGTGTAACTGCCAGTGGAATACGCAGATGATGAAACTAGTCGCAGCGTCGTGCTGGAGTGTTGTAAACGGGTCTCGCTATCGAAGCGATGATCGATAGAGGCTGATGTCAACTAGCCAGCAGCTCAAGCCCCTGGAGTCATGGTGGACGGTAGTTGGGCTAAATAAAAATAATGAATCGCCAGCTGTACGCCACTAACAGTGGCTAGTACGCAAGGTCATGTCGTCCTAAGCCTTTTAGAACAAAGAGAGGCTATATATGTTAGATTACTTGAGAGTAGCAAGCGAAACGCGTCTGGTGATTCTCCGGACTAGGCTGTGCTATGTGAAGAATGAAAGGAATGTGTCAGCGGTATGCCTTAACGGCACTTCGCTGCGGTGCGACCACTACCAGTCGCACACGGGCTGAGTATACCGCGAGGATGCCCATCGCTACGCGGATTTGAACCCATGCCTTAAGATTACGAGACATGCACTAGGCCACAGGCTGACGCTGTGTAATGTAGATTGTAGCTGCTGGGATGAATACTATAAAAATCACAACTAAAATACTGCTACGTACGAGTAGTATAAAATATGCAGCCTCTCCAAGTTTTAAATGCAATGTCTAGCGAGAGGACGTCATGACATAGCAGACTAGCAACTGTCAGTGACGGTGTAAGATAGGTCGTGCTATATCCGAATTAGTCCCATAAGTTGTGTGGGCATGGAACTTCCAAGTTGCCCAGGCAGAGGAAGAGGATTAACTTAGCGAAGTACAATCGGAGCCATTAGTCTTAAAGACCTGACCCGCAAGGCAGCGGGGTGATTGCCTTATATCACATACCGTTGGGAACCGGCTAGCACGATAAAGATAACACGGCTTTCGAGTAGGAACAAAGTAGTCCGTGCACCCAAGAAGCCCGAATGAAGCAACCCGGAGGCCAAGGGAAACTTTTTGTACCACCGAACTCGCTGTGGAGCATGAAGGCAGTTGACAACCTGGTGGCTTATACGCGTTCGGAGAAGCTGGTGGACATCGAGGTAGTTCATCCAGCCTCCGTTGGATACTCACTTCTGATCGCAGCAGTGGGTAGTCAGTGACCCTATGACCAATCAAATTGGCTTTGACACAGCGTCTTAAGGGCTCCAGTGGTATCTAATGAGGAACCAGGTGACGAACCCAGAACCCCCACGCATTAGGACGATGCCGCTGATTGTCCATGAGTGCTTATTCATCTCAGTTCTGAACAGCTCAGACTTACTCACAATGTAGGGATGTGCCCGGTGGTGTACAGCTCCGCTGTAATAACGTAGTCAGAGCACTAACGGGTTCCGGACGGCTTTGCATCATCAAAGTAGAAATCTTTCCTCCAAAAATGACAGGAACCGGTTCCTGCGGACCCTTGGTGAGAATCAGCTAAAAGTAGTTCAGAATTTCAACTACTTAGGCAAATGTATCAGTGCCGGTGAAATGGAAGACGAAATCACAAACAGTATAGCAAAAGTAATAGGGGCTTTTGCTAACCTTTGCTACCTAAGGTGCCAGTGCGACATCATTCTTTCCCTGAAGGGTAGTGTACAATGCAGTTGTAAGTTCGAAATCACTGCACAGTTGTGAAACCTAGCGCACTAGACCGCTTTGGCTCATATCTGGTGGGAACATCGTGTGAGCAATGAGGGTGTTCAAAGCCTTGCTTGTGGCACAGGAAGAGCGAAGGAACTGCGCCACAACATTTTCAAGCACCAACCGAGTGCTGGGCCACGTTTTGCGCATGTTCGTAACATCATCAACAGCAGCACATCAGCCAGGTGAATTGATGATGCGCAGCATAATGACAAAAGTAATGTATAATAATGACGGAGAGAAAGGTAACCTAATGCAACATAAAAAACGCCCTAAACAAAATAATGAGGATTAAGGCGCCCACACCTTGTGTCATGAACATGCCGTCACAAACAGCTGGCAATTGTGCAAAGATAAGGCGGTATCAGCGAGGCAGCTGTCTTGAGTCTTTCACTGCCCCGCGTCATAATCAGCCATTACCCAGCAGATAACTCAGCAGCAAACACAATTTAAACAGGCAGATCGAGTAGGGGACGACAGTACACACACCACTGATGCCGATTACGAGCCATGTCCTTTAAAATCTCGAGACAAGCACAAGGTGGACCACTTGGAGTTCAACCTGGAAGGCGAGACGGAAGACTTTACTCAATCTAGTAGTCAGTGACTTTTTGTCCACCATCTAATATTCGACAAAAAACAATCCTGAGAAACAGAAATTAGCGAACAAGCTCGTTTTCAGCGATGCTTCGTCAGGCGAATACACCACGAATGAACGACATGAACAAGTTCGAAGACCTAGATAGTCTGAGTGACCAAGCTAACTGGTTGGCCCAAAGCGATCGAAAGTGAGCGTGTGGTGTTGCCCATCCCATGTATCAATATTACAAGGGGCCAGGGTAGACTGACTGTCTGGACAAATTTCTTATGTGCACAAAGGTTCGGGGCATGAAGCCGAGAGGTGGTCGCTCCAAACTCTAAACATCTGACCAGTGGTATGTGGCATCTGGGTAAGCAATAGACGGGATTTAACGTCTTGTGTGCTCCAACCTGGCAGTTCGAATTAACCAGCTTTCCAGTTATCTAGTCACACTATGATATACAATCAGGCCGGAAAACGCTCTAGGGATCTCAAGGACAGTTGCTGTTTAAACGTGCTAAGGGTGCACCATAAGACACTTCCTGTTGTAACTGCAGAAGCACAACAAAGATGCAATGCATGTAAGCCAAAGTAACAAGTTCCAGACCTCAGAAATCCATGAGAAAGCAATCCATTGTGAAGAACACAGAAAACGGGAAAGAAGTGGTGAATACATCGCAGCATTAATGTTCTAGGTCAATCGAACTACGCTTATAAGGCATAAACTGTCACATTTCACAGCCACGTGCAAATGAAAATAACACTGGATGGGCGCAAAGCCCTTTCGAACTTCGCATAATCCGGCGGGCCCCAAAAGGACAAATGGAAAGAATCGTGTCGGACCCAAGTCACATAAGCTGGACCAGTGCGTCACGTCACAATTACGAGTGAAGCTACTGCAACTAAGGTTGAGTTCAGGTAGTAAAGTGAGGTCATCTTATAACATGTTCGCCACTCCTACCCTAACGTTTCAACTTGCAACCCCCTCTAGGCCATTATAAAGGAATCTGCTGTTAAGTTTAGTGTTTTTAGAAGCCTCCTCTTGCAAAGGGGCAGGAAGTGGAAGAATGCTTACACCAAAATCCAACAGACAACCAGAAGAGGCTTACAGGGAAACATGCCTTAAGAAAGGACAAAGGAGATAATCAAATTCAGGAACAAACGCAGTGGATCACAAATAGACGGCGGTTGGTAAGAAAATTGAAGCAATAGCAACTTGCCTGTCAACAGATTCTTCGAAGTCTAAATCAATGTCTCGATTGCGGAGGTCTTTCGAGTTGGGTACGTCAGCGTGTCCTAGGAGCTTACGTGTCATTTCGCGAAGCGTTGAGTCAGGAAAATGTAAATCCCGGTCGTACGGACTGGAATCAGCTGTAAGCCATGAAGAAAACGTTCACCAGAGTGAGAGAATAAGTTGTGCACATATGTGGTGTAAATTGAAGGCGTCTAAAATCAATACAGTGTGAATAGTCAAAATGGACAGCTGATCAGAAGCACGTGAGCAAGAAATGGATTGAGCGTGTAAGGACAGGTCACAATGCGTTTCCAGATGTGTGGCGGTCGCCTCAGTGAGTTAGTATATGATATATTACTTTGCGTAATGAAAGCATTAGCTCCCCGACCAAACACTGAATGGCACCAGACACATCGTTCAAGTATAACGCACAATTGTACACACAGGCATACGAAGGAGATCTGATTGTGACAGGCTAAATAACGAGAAGTAGGTCACAAGCAACGGATTAGAGAACAAAATGATGGCACACTTAAAGTAAGTGGGGTCATATTCCAACTTGTTTAGATTTATTGGTACGAGAGATCGTAATCGGTAGCTTGAAAAACCGAATGCTATCACCGTACACAGTGCTGACCTACATCCTCGGGGCCCGTTTCGTCAAATTCAGCCGATCTAGTATAATTGCTGATGCCGGAGCGCGGTGGATCCAGTTGAGCTGTGTTGTTAGAAAAATTAACGAAGAAAGAAAAAAGCAAGCAAACAAGCAAGTGCGGATCTAACGTGGAAGAGAGAACAGTAAGATAAAATTAGCAAGAAAAGACTAACAGCAAGAAACAAGAGACTGTGTGTAACAGCGACACAGATCTGGTGCTTGAAGTCACTGCACAGTTCGGTGCACCATTGATGGAGCCGCGTGTGGTAGAGGTCCCGTGAGTAGTGAATCTTAAATTCTACGTGGCCGGAAGCGGAAGGTTAGACAGAACAGAAATAGGTGAGTTAATAACTCAAGATCCAAAACGTGTGAAGGAGGGCGGATAACCCAAGGCTATCAGTGAACGGGTAAGTTTATGAGAATATGCTGGAATAAAATACTGTTCAGAGTATAAATAGTTAAATTAAGGCACAAAAGGTAGACTGGAAAACAGAAGTACGAGCAAAACGTCCACCGCATCTCATAATCCTCGGAGCAAGTGGCGCTTATTCAGCAGGATTGACGAATAGAGATCTTGAGCAATTCAACTGAAAGCACATAACCAAAATAACATGTGAATTAGCAGACAGCATCGAGCGGTTCTGTGAGAAACGTTAGTGTTGTACAGCATGTGTAATCAGTATCTATACGACACCATGGGAGCCACTTTGTTCGTGAACTGTGAAGGTTTTATGCAGACTGTTAGTAGGAGCCAAAAGTCAACCGATATATAGTTACTTGTGGTATCTTCTCGCAAAAAGGAAGGCCTTAATGTAATCTGGTGGTTGCGAACGAGCAACTGAAGTGTCTCAGTGTACTTGCTGCAATCTTAGAATTGCAATGTGGACAGTCCGAAAAGTACTTCCCGTCCAGTGATAAACAACGTAGAAAACAGGAGTGATAAGGGAAATTAGCAGTGGCATAAGAAATCAGGCTTGATCAACGAGGACCCATGAACCAAAATGCAGTGGATTCTGTTGTCGAAAAGTAATAAGAAGAATGACGGGAAAAGGAAGGGAGAAAACTCAGGGAGAGGAGAATCCCTCGGACCGTTAGACGAAGGAGTGAAGTCGGAATTGATTGAATTTGTGTAAGGACGCCATTGACTTTGTGACTGCATGAAGTAAGATAATACCACAGACTACTCTTGTGGCAACTCCGAGGCAACATTTAAAGAGACGAAACGCACGAATCTCACCAACACTTTCAATACTTTATTTCATGCTGTTTAGTCACAACGTTATGACTGCTCCTCGAGTCGGTGCATAAAATGTGTACGGATCGATGATAAGTTCAGTTTCACTCCAAGGCATGAAGCGCATTGTAACCGACAAAAAGTACCAGCAATACTCCGGTGCGCCGTAACGACGCTTCACTGAAATGCAACCACCACCGGTCGCACACAGGCTAGCGATACTGCGATGGTCGCCCGGTTCCCTACGTACACTCGAACCGGTGACCTCCTGGTGCCAAGGCATACGTCTCGTCCTTCCGACCACAGGCCGGCACAGCAAATAGAAAAGCTTATGGAAAATGACAAAGAAGTAGAGCAATTTGGAGTAGCTTAATCTTGCACATGATACGTCAGGTCAAACACGTGTAGCAATAACGAACATGCTCGTACGAGTCAATCCCAGTGACATGCGAAATCCTCACGACAGCAAGTGATGCGATCGGGATTATGACTTAACTATCTCATGAGCGATGTCGACCAACAAATCGCAAAATTACGCACTGCACTCACGTGTGTTTGCATGGATCGGGAAACGAGACATATCTGGAGTGTACCAGGACTTAGCTATCTGGTCTTTCCGATAACTCCCGCTGTAAATAGTGGAAAAATGAAGATGCGAGTTGAAAGTAAAAGTACAAGTGATTCGATGGTAAAATAAAACAGATAGTCCCGAGTGAATGACTTGTTAGAGTTGTTTCGTTGTCCACAAGATGTGGTCGGAAAAAAAACATAAAGCTGCAGATGTGATAAGCTGGCGCAACTGGCAGTCCACCGTGAACTGGCGGTGGAATTTAGACCGGATAAGTATGCGCAATTGATGCAACGACAAGCAACAAACGGATGCGAGGTAGGTGGGATGAAAACGCGGATGAGGAACGGTGGAACATCTACTACCATCTAAGATGAAGTTTGACAGATATTCAACTGTAACGTCCAGTAGTGAGGGACGCAAGTAGGATGGACGAGTGGGTTATGCTCACTTCACGTATTTCTAGGCACTAAGTGAAACCAATGATAGTACATTGAGAAAAGGTTGAGTGTAGATCTTGGTAATAGGTGGAGGTTGAGATAATATCGATAGATCACTAGTACACTGCCGAACTGGTTTAGTAATGTGGTGTCAGCAGCATACCGGTAAGTCGTGCTGCTGCCGCCAAGCAGTCGTAAGCAAATACACGCGAGTCGGAATACGGCAAAGATACTTAAGCCTATGCAGAAGCGAAGACTTGAAACTTAAACAAGAACTCGACTGGAGGAGACCACGCAGTGGTCAGCCGTCCACCTGGCCACGGCACATGAAAGTATTGACTTCAGGTCTTGCAGCCGTTAGATCCATACACCTGCCTAGTTGGGAACCAAAGAACGAAGAGTGCCGATGGCTCGAAACAATTCGGAAAATGTCACGCAATCACTGTCAGTGGAAGATATGTGGATTTACTTGTTTATATTCGGATGCTTAATGCTTAACAATTGAAGAAGAAAACGAAAAGCAGTGTGCGCAAAATAACAAAAAACGTGCCGTTTTTTCTAGTGGCTCAAAAGCTGAAGAGCGTTGCTCGCCATCAGCTAATAAGCCGAGATGATGAGGCGGTGATTTAACCTATCACATCGATTTTTCTGGTTTTGTTTTGCTAAATGTCTATTCGTCTGACTGTTGCTAATACATAAAGACGTTTCCATAAATGGCTGAATCTATGAAAAGCCGCACAGGCCTTACTGATATGTGACGTAACCTCCTCAGTGCTGTGATTACTGATTACTGGTTGGAAGCAGCAAGTAGAGGTTTCTCTGTGCGGCTGCATCTAATGTCACTCAAGGACAAAGACCCGTTACGTTGTGGTGCACTCGATATATTTTATGTCAGCAAAGTGTTTGTCTAGGAATTCCGTAAATTCCGACACCGACTGAGCCACAACTACGTGCTGCGGCAGGTAGTTCCATACATTCACCACTTTGCGTTCGAAACAGAATTGATGAGCGACCCACTTCAAATCCGGTACACCAAGTTTGTACCGGTGTCATCGTATGCCGCTTGGTGTGCGCAGATGAAGCAGCGGCCTCAACATGAGGTAATTTCCCAGATGTAATATCCAGTGCGTCATAATGAGGTCAACCCTCAGTCGACGATAAGCTAGGGTGTACAGCACTAGTTTCTTACACCGGTCTTCGTACGGTACACCTCGTGAGCTGGGAATCAGCCTAGTGACCACATGCTGCACTCGCTCAAGCTTTTCTACCTCCCCCGGGTGATGGGACAATACGCGGGAGAGCCATACTCTAGCATTGGTCGTATTATTGAGACGAAGTGCTGAGTGACAATCTCTTTGGACCAAGTGCTGAAGCTGCGCCTGAGCGCCCAAAGCATACGAAGGCTGTTTTGGTAAAGCCTATTCGTGTTGTTCATGGACTTTAGGTCGTAGCGTGGGAGTACACCGAGGTCTCGCACGAAAAGCACAGGATGCAACGGTTGACCGGACATCGTGTAGGTTCGACTTTGCTCACACTTACCAGCCTCATGTATTGCGACTTGACCGGGTTGACCTCTGCAGACCACGTGGAGAGGCGGTCGAGGCCCAGCTGAAGCAGGTCACAGTCATTGAGTGCGCGGATTCCTCTCAACACCTTCATGTGCAAACAGCGCACAAGGTAATTAGAGTATCTGAAGCACATCGTTTACATGGATCAGAAACAATATCGGCCCTAGTACAGTGCCTTGGGGCACACCACTACTCTATGGATACCACTCAGTCAAATAGTTGTCTAGCTGGACCCTCCACTTGCGATCAACAAGGAAATTCTTGATCCATCGATGCAGTGAGCCGCCAACGCCACACACCCGCAACCTGTCGAAGAGCACTTCATGATTCACCTTGTCAAAAGCCTTACTGAAGTCAATGTAAATGACGTCGACCGACTTGCCTTGGTTCAGCGCTTGTAACCAATCGTCCCTCGTCAACAGTAGGTTGGTGATGCACGATCGACCTTTCACGAAACCATGCTGTGTGTGCGCCAAGAGGCTTTTCGACTCGAAAAGCTGCAGAAGACTCTTCTTCCCGATATTTTAGAGCGTCTTTGTCAAAACAGCGGTCAGGTAGATCGACCGGTAGTTATCTACTTTGCTTGGGTTACCACCTTTCGGAGCACTTCCAGTCGTCCGGTAACAGTCCAGTGGATAGTGACCTGTTGAACAGCTCAGTTACAGAAGGAGAGATGATGGCCGATAAGGACTTGAGAATCAGTGGGTGGATTCCATCTGGTCCGGCAGGCTTCGTCCCGTAAAGACATGCCAGAAGCTTGCGTACATCTTCAATGCTGCAATCCAGGCTGTCTAGTTCAGCGGGAGCGGTACTTGTCGAACTTGTCACAGACACCTGGTCAATTGCAAATACGGAGGCGAAGTGCGCCGCCAATGCGAACGCACGATCTGTGCTTGAGGTTAGGGACTGTTCATCTGAGCCTTCTAACAGGCATATTGATTGCAGGCCTCAGGCGCCGCTACAGGTAGGCGAAGATCCTATTGGGATCAGTTTTTGCGGCGGCAAGCCGCTCTTCGAAGCTTCTGCAATCTTTTGTTTTCGTGTTGTCGCAGAGATTTTGTTGTACGTTGTATGCCATGTAGTCCTAATCAGAACCAAATAACACGAATTTGTTCCATAGTATGCGTCATCGTTGGGCCAGTTTGCTGTACACCTTGTCCAACCAATGTGGTTTGACTGGCCCAACTTTCCGATACTTGAGGGGAACAAATCGGGCGCACAACAATTTCACTCCCTCTTTACTGATAGTCCAACAGGTTTCAATAGATGAATCCTCTGGTATAAGCCAGTCCATCTAACTCGTTGCTCGAGTAAGGCCATTAAAGTCTGCCTTCCAATAGCTGAAGGCTACCAGTGTAAGTGAACCAAACCAACACATCCAGCGGCTGTTCACTGATAGCTAGAACCGGTGGCCTATCGGTCCAGTTTCACAACACTACTTTGTAATTCGTGAATGTCGTGGCAATGATCAGACAATCGGGTAATGCTTTCATTGCGTGTGCGGTCGATCCAAGGGGGCCTATGGTGCCTGCATTCTCAAGATTTGTCAGTCAGTCCTATGACTGTGGGAGATCCGAAAGGAAGAGAGTCTTTTACGATCATTTTGGTCACAAAGTTGGAGAGGAAGGAGATACAGGATCGCTCTGAGGAACCACAATTGTCGATGGGAACTTAGAAGACAGCTTTCGGTAGACGCTTCGACATTATCGGGAGTCGTGGTAGAGAGACTTCAGAATGGAAAGGGGTTGTGCTGGCACACTGTGGTGTGTTCCTGCGCTAGCACTTGACGAAATATGTGGTTTGTACGACCACGACCAGAGGGAAAGCCAAGTTGGTTTTCAGTGATTTGGCTCATACGAGGGCCAGTAAGTTATCGAAAAATGACACCTGTGAGAAGTTTGTAAGCAATTAGTATAAGGCCAATGCCACGACAATTTTCACACAAAGTCCTTTGACCAATTTTGTAGGTGACAGGACAGCTGACTGTCGCCAGTCTGAAGGCACATCCTCAGTGGCCTAAATCATGTGGACAGAAGTGTGATGGTGATTGGTGAGAGACGACGGAGGAACTAGAGCGTGCAAAGTGAAGTGGGAACGAGAATATCCGGTTGCGCAAAGCGAAGTATGGAGTTGTCATAGGGGCTCCAGCGCGAGCCTTTGGCTCAACAGCCTACCGGCAAGGGAGTGGAGCGAATTCAGGAAGTCGCGCCGATTGAGAGCCGGTGACCGATCTCTCGGTTCATACGCCTTTCGTTAGACTTATAATTTAAGCACAAGACTGGTGGAATACAATGCTCCACCGGTGCGAATCAACGGGAAGCGACTAGTTAGTGGCAAGTCACATCCGCCACATCGCAGTGTTGTCAAACGGACAATTGTGGTTTTAATAGGGAGAACGCCTGCCAGGCGGAAACCCAGCAGGTCCTAGAACACTACCGCCGAACTTGTTTCCGGAACGTGGTAAACCCGAAACACCCAGGAGGATGTTCGGCTAGCCAGCATAGTTGCAGGAATCGATCGTCTTTGTCTGTTCAACGTGCGGCGACCCCAAAGTGGCCTCGTAGGCGTTGAAGGGAGTGTGAAAGGCGACCCGCGTGGACATTCATCAGTATTTCTGTCATGTTCAAAAGAAATTAGAGTTCGGGATAAAATCCTCTTTCGTATCCCCCAAACTGGAATCTGTGGGGGCCTAAATGAAAGCAACATAAACGCACTTTCTCAGTAGAGATTCGAAGTAGAATCGCACACATGCGGCTGTTCACCGGTATACAGTCGACTGGATTGTCATCAGCATGTTTGCTGAGAGCAAAACCAACAACATAGATATCTTTAGCCATTGACCCAGTATCGCCGGAGGCGCGAAAGGTGTGATCAATGTCGACAGATACAGAATTAGAGTCGAAGATTCGTCATGACACTGTTGTCTTGCGTGTGTGCTTCAGAGACACAGCAAACATCGATATCAAGAGAGTGAAGAGCGAGAGCTGGTGCTAGCTGTTGGTGATCTGACTAGGGTGCGGACGTTAAAAGAACCAATGTGAAATGGTACCTTTGGTTTGAGAGATGAATTACATAGATATGCGGCACAAACTGCGAGGTCAGCGGCAGTATCCTGCATAGTAGATGGCGAAGAGGAGAGTTGCAAGGGAGGAGAAAGACAAGAGGAAAAAGAAGAAGGAATATTGGCGGCTGGGCCGAGAGGGTAGGTCATAATATCCAAATTCCGATCAGAGGATGGGGCTTTCTTTGAGGTGCCATATCTCTGGCCTTTGACTCAACAGTCTGACACACAAGGTAGTGGGGAGTAAATACAGCTTGGTAACGTGATTAAGGTCCCAGTACGGTCTGACTGAGGTCTGTTACAAACCGCTTTAGCAAGTCTGGTTTACGTTACGAACCTGTGGCTATGGCCAATTGCAGATACGAATTGGCAGATTCGCAACCATCTGACCCAGGGCTGTCTGGCTTAAGGTGGATCGTAGCAAACGATGGGACACCAAGCAGTGATCTACCACTATCAGAGACTGCTTAGCGTTCGTGTTCTACGCCAACCGAACTATGAGCTTATAACTCTTTACCTGCTGTCTCCCATGACTTTTTTATAAGGAAGATGCTCATCCATCTCTCCCCAACCTCCGAAGAGGATATTGAGAGTGAGTTGGTCTGACCTCTATTCATTGACCAGTTTGGTATGAGCGACTATGAAAGCATTTGGAAAGTGCCGCACAGCATAGCTCAATGGGTCACAGATGTACGCAAATCATCGCACAACGTTAAGGTCCAGTCTCGATGAGATGGTCCGTTGGATAAAAACTAATCAACAATGAAAATTGTCAAGTAGAAGCTGGGAAAACAGCCCGATGTCCCTGAAGGACAGATTCCATCAGAACGGAAAATAAATAGCCACAACACATGCTAGGTGATGAAAACGGTTTCTATCGATTCAACAGAAGATGGAAAACGGCAGCCACAAAATGACCGGATGAGTCGCGGTGATTACCGCACAACGCGCCCTTGGATTCAACTTGAGGCCCTTATGTTGTAGAGGCCACGCCATCATTGCCGAAGCTGACCGCTGGAAATGTCAATCGATCGGTGGACTATTGGCTTTGGTCACACACGGTTGGCGGCATCCGGTTTCGGATTTGCCTGTCACTGTGGCAACTCACAGGACGCCTGCGCCTACAGAGGGGCCATGGGTGGCTTGCGCTGCATCACCCACAGCTCCAACCACACACCCCATATCCAGTGTAAACCCGAAGGGATAAAACCGGCAGGCATGTGGATGGGAGCCAGGTTTCATCAACGGAGCCGACCCACACTCCTTCACAGGCAAACACAAGCACGCTGTATTTGGAAATCAAGCGCACACAAGGCGGTGACTGGACCGTAGTCCGCTCCACACTGAGTGCATGGAACCAATCTTTGATCCTAACACGGCCACAAGAATCGTGCACCCCGTGCCCTCCAGCAAAGTCCAACTGTCTCTTGGAGCCAGTATGGACGAGGTACTGGGTAAGAGACAGGTAGGCACCTTGTCAACATGCACATCAAGCTCAGCCACACCGGGAATATCAAACAACAGCCAATCACTTGAGAGAAAGCTAACAAAGAAGTACTGCATAAGGAAACGTGCCAAAAATCTTAAATTAATGAGCATATGCAATAAGTTGTTAACGAAGGATCCGAGATAAGTTCGGAGGGGTCAGAAAGTATATTTTCCGGAAGTGACACAAACGCGAAAATGCTATCGAAATTAACTAAAATTGGCTTAAGCGAGTTGTTCAGGTTTATAGAAGAGCGTACAGGTGGACATTTATTTGAGAAAAGCATTAATGCTTTGGTCACACAAAGTGATATCAATTCACACGTCCACGAAGATCTCTCAAAGTTCAGGAACAGACTATAAAATTAAAAATCACACACAACTCACACACGCGCTGGCTCGTACACACATGTGCATTCGTGGATTTAGCACGAAATAGCATCAAGGCTATCGTTGTGAGACAACCGTGCACGGAAACACAGGCTTTGTCTAAACAACGGATTACCCAGTGAACGATAGATAAGTCAGATCTTATCTTGTTTTTGTGTACATTTAATAAACTTTATTGTTTACGAAGTACACATATCGCTTATAAACATCTTGGTATTATTAAAGTGTTCCTTCTAGTCGCATCATATATGGAAACAACGCTAATAGTGATATAGCTATTCAGATAACTTAATCAATGAATGCTTGCAGAGGCGCATCGCTGTTCAGTAAAAAGCCATGAGGTTAAACAGCGGAGATGATGCTGCGAGGGTTACAGTTAAAAATGAAGATGAAAACAGGTGGATTACACCCGCACGGTGAATTTTGCTGTCGCTTTCTGCGCGGCTTCAGCTCAGTCGAATGATTCAAACCAGACAGCAAAACATGCGCACATGAAAAATCCCAATGTGAGCACCGAAAAACTCGATAGAAGAAAGCCAAGAGCGCATAAGCCCGACAACGTGTCGGTAAAAGTGTACCAAGAACAGAGCTGGAAAAACCCACCTGTCCCCGTAAGTATAGTCGGTTCTTTCGTAGCTGAAGCGCAGAAGTTACAGCATTGAAAAGGTTGGGGACAAGCATCAATGGAATAACACTATGAAGTGAAATGAGTGGAACACATGAAGTAAGGTTGAGGCAACTCATCGGATAAAGCTTGTCAGCAAAAAAAGAATGCCATCTTACCTGAAAGGAGTTAATCGGATGTTATCGAGACTGTTGCTTTCCTGCCAATGGGCTGTCAGAGAATACTGTGAAATAGAAAGTTGTGCATCATCATCCGCAAGATTCCCTTGCTGCGAGCTACCCACGTGTGCTCTCGTACGCCGAGTGCGTACGGAAAGCATAACCAAAATGTGCGGCAAGAAAGCTAAAACCGAAAAAAGCGCTAGAAGATGAAGGCACAAATGTGACTGTGGTGGGAAGAATAGAAAGGGAAAATCAAAGTAAGTAAAAATTGAGTCGGCCGTTTTACAACCGCCTATTCGCAAGAATAAGAACACGTGAGAAAAAAGGGAGACTAGAAACGAGAGAGAACAGTGTTAGTACACGAGGTAAAACACACGCAAGTCCCGTTCGAGTTTGCACTCAAACTAAAGTTGCCTGAAGTGTGATGTAATACACGTGCGGACTTGAGGCAGCCAATAGAAAACTCTTTAAACCATGGTAAAACACATACTGTGAGCAAAGACGATGAGAAATAAATGTCAGAGAGGGCACAAGACAACAGCGGCTGCATCCGTAAGGAAACGCATGACAAACCACGATGACAAAGCATGGTTCAAAAAAATGTAAACGACAGTGATTAACTGGGAAAAAAGTAACATAACGCGCATTAGCAGGGGGTTGGAAAAAGCAGCATAAATGACAGTGCAAAAGCTGTGACGATTCTTAAGAGTAAATAGCCAGGAGTAGAACTACAGCGGCGCAATCTAAACTCCAGTGTTCCATGATTCCATAGGTAGAAATGAAATAACGACGGAGAAGAGTGACTCAAACCGCCAACTCCAACGGATGCTCGATAAAATCGGGAAGAGGTGGCAGCCCTTGGTCATACCATATGACAAAGTTGCACATATGCCTAAATTTCGTAAAGTAACCCTTCGCATACATCCTCCATCTATCAACCGTTGTGATTAACAGTTAAATTCCGCGTTCTAAGCGACGCGGGTTCAAGGTAGCTAGGTGAGCGGAGAAAAGTCAAACAACTAAACCGAACTTGCAAAGATGCGCTCATGTAAACGAGAGAATCGCTTTTTTGATTAAAAGTGCCATTGATTCAGTTTACAAGGGCATATATATAAATAAAATACTCGCAAGCACAAGATGAATCAAATCTTTAAAAAACCTCGTGAATCGAACAGAGTACACAGAACAGGTCATGGTGCATGATTATATCATTAAACTCCGTCTCTGAAAGCAAAATCTAATTCAAATGACCGTCGAGGAATACACTGTTTATTTACTAGTAAACTGGAGCGCTGTAGATCGGGCAATCGTAGAACTCGAAATCACGTCAAAGGTAAAACGAATAAAACAAAGGAAAGAGGAAATCTTCAACGAAAGACGTTACAACCATCGAGGGAAGGAAATTGGAGCAATAAGAAGAAAAATAAAGGGAGCAGCGTTCTTAACTTGTGACAGACGGAAGTACTTAAAAATTGTCCAGTCTAGATCTAGGAAGACGATTTGCATCAATCAGATCAAGCAGTAAAGCCAATTCCCTCATCTATTTTGGTCACTGCATCAACCATGACCATGGAAATTCACCCACAAAGTACAGTGATAGCAAACAAAAAGCGCAATCGTGTCGATCGACCATCCCGTCCTGTTCAATATAGTCCAGAGTGCAGTTTCTATGAGATCATTGTAGCTTTTTAGTGTTTTATCCTCGAGCAGTTCATGTCGCAGGAGGTTCAACGGTTAACGGCCAGTAGGCTCCAAAAAACATTACGTAAGCCAGCAATGGAGAATGTACACATTTCTCTTCGGCCTTAAAGTGGACTTTAGCTTTGAATGTCATTTATAGAAGCTTCTAAGAGGCATTGAGATGCAGGCAGAAGTAGACTAGAAGCAAATACTGGTAGCCTAGGCTGTTTAGTTGATGGTCAGTGTTCGCTGAGCTCGGCAGTTTGGCTACAATCGTTTTGTCCCCACTCGAGGTGACATGGTCAGTGCGCTATTAGGCAGGGGGCGGCGAAACGCGAAGCGTCAGTGAGTGTGAACCACTGACGCACCGCACCACTACATATTAGCGCATTGATGATGCCACCTCGAGTGGTAACGAAACGTTTGCAGCCAAACTGCCCAGTTCAGCGAACACTTAGTTCACCAAGAGAAGTACACTAGCTGAGCTAAATTACGTGGACGATTTAGTTCAGCTGTTCGATAGCACATCAGGAGCACAATCAACCCTAGATAAGCTGTCAGAGTAGCTGTACCTCTCAGAATGCACTTGTAAACCGCCAGCGCCCTGCTGGCTCTCTCAAACCTGAGGAAAGCAAATTGGGTACAGATGAGCAATTCATCTTAATGAACAGCATTAGAAGCAGCACTGGGCATGCAACTGCTGTGATCAGATCATCCATTTCTGCAGCTAGAACTAAAAAATAGAATTGGAACGCAACTGGCATAAAAAGTGTACCTAGGCCTTGAAGTAATGTTCTTAGTAAGATAGGACTAATCTCCCCTACATCAGTGAAACTTTACTTTGCGGAACTGAAAATCACAAGTGCACACGCATGTGACCAACGACGTGTGCCTAGCAATGCTCAAGTGGAGTGGACCTAGCGAAGCCGAAGACATAGTTGCGCAGTTCGGCACTGGGCGAGGATGGACAAGTTAGTTCAACAAGTTAACAAACAAGGCTAGGAACACTGTACATGCTTAGCTACATTGGGTATCTTCGTGTTCACTGGGCAAGTACCATCAACAACAGTACCATAAATAACATGAACTTATGTGTCGCATCCAAGCAACCCCGACGACTTAGACAGGTATGTAAAAAATGAAGGCTAAAGAGGAATTCACATTAGTTCAAGTAAACATTTGTGATCAGGGCCAAGAAATATGGTAGATTCAGTTGCCTCAACGCGTGGCGCAAAGAAAACCATAAAGAACAATAGTAAGGAATCAAAGTTAAACGCAGACAAAACACAAAAAGGGAGTCAAGTGCGTAAAACCAATTGGGATGAAGTACTAGCAGCTAGATGCCAGCGAGATGCGTTGTTTGCGCGTCGGGGGAGTGGATGGAAAATGAGGAAGGGATGCCAACCGCCGACATGATCTAAAGGAATGAAGGCCCACACTTCGAAGTTGGCCTCGGCCAGAGCCACTTGGCTTTCTGGTTGGGGCCCAAAAGTCGATGAAGATGCTTGGCTGGATACATTTGTTGAGATGACTAGGAGCCGATCTCAATGGTGTTTGTGTTTTGATTTTCTTTGTCCCTGCCCCTCCCGCTTAGCCTCCCCTCCAACCACGATGTCAAAATTGTAGTATAACTATTTTGCGACATAAGGGCCAGCTGCCGGTCCTCCGGAACGATGTCCATCCGTTACTGGTGGCTCAGCTGGCGCCGTGTTGCGGTTCTTTATTGTGTATTGCGGCACAATGGCTGAAGTATTTTCACCTCTAGCTAACGTATATAATCATGATGATGAGAGCTAAATGCTGGCAACCGAATGCAGGAACGCCAGTGATTGCATCGCTGCGACATGCCCGATAGAGGCTCCAACCACCAATGTGGACCATCTCGAGGACCCCATCCACGATGACGGCACGCATCAGCCAAACCGAGTAAGTTAATTTATTAATGTCTTTATGCCAAGTCATCAACCAATCACCTCGTGGTCTCCCCCAACTTGAAGCACCGATACCATAGAATGCAGCACGAGAAAGGAGGGCGACAGGCATACGGATAACATAATCTAGCCAACGCAATAGATTAACCTTCAAGAAAAAGTCCAGTGAGGTATCATAGGGTACCTTGCCAAAAACCTCTGCAATGTTCTCGAAGTGTGCCAACCAGATTTGAGCAATACTCGAGTGACCAAAGATGGTCAGTCGTTTAATGAATTCAGTACTTAATGATCAGGCCTTTTGACATGGTTCTCATCGCAGCGACAATCACCCGACCCGCCGTTCCCATTGATGGTGGAGTCCATGAAAAGCCATGCTGATACGCGAAGTAACCTCCTCAGTGATGCGACCGCCACGGGTGACACGGGGAATCAATCCATTACATAAGGTGACTGTTCGCAATAAACTAGAACCGCTGGTGTATCGGTCCGGATGTGCAACAACACTAGTTTGAGAGTGAAAATTACCTGGAAGCGTGCGTCGCAAAAGAACAGTCTATTAAGTAGTACCTGCAGTGCCTCCGCGACCGATCCAAGAAAAGGATTTAGGATTTATTAGTCGGCCACATGACAAAAGTTCCACTTCGGAAGATCCGGAGAGAACCGAATCATTTATCATCATTTTGATCACAAAGTTGGAAGGAAAAAGAAATATACGACAGCCTTGGCGAACCCCACTTATCCATGGGAGATCAATCCGATCACCATCCGAAGGTCGGTAGACATCTTGCAGAAAGATGGCAAAATCACGAAGTGGTTTCCAAAACGTCACTGACGATGTGGATTTGAGACAGGTCCATTAATTTCACTACTGGAGAAAGTTGAAAAAGATAAACGGTATAGCCGGTGTTCATGGTGAAACCAAATTTGGCAGCTGTCGAAGTGAGAGCCACAATTATGTGCTGCAACGCATACGCGGTGTGCGCAAACAACACAGTTGTCGGCAAACAGCAGCGTACGGGCGGAAATCTCGCATACCAGGATTCTCGACCCGAAACCACGGAGGTTCTGCAACCCACCATCAATACGGTGTTAAAACAGACAACGTAATTACCAGCAACATCAAAAGTACATCATTGAATAAAGGCAAATATTAAAGAGGGCAGCGCCTAAGACAGCACGGCAAAACGCCAGAAACATTATATATATATATATGTATATATATATATATGTATATATATATATATATATATATATATATATATATATATATATATATATATATATATATAGAAGGCTGACGGCATCCAGCTTCGGATTTGCCTGTCACCGTGGCCAGCCACAGAACGCATATGCCTACAGAATGGACAATGGGCGGCTTGCGCTGTACCACCCACAGCTCCAACCACACACCCCATATCCAGTGTAAACCCGAAGGAATAAGACCGGGAGGCATGTGGATGGGAACCACGTTTCATCAACGGAGCCGCTCCACACTCCTTCACAGACAAACACAAGCATGCTGTATTTGGGGAATCAAGCGCACACAAGACGGTGATTGGACCACAGTCCGC